AGTCCTAATACTATGTTTAAAAATCTTTAATCACTCTCCCTTTTCTCAAAACATCTTAAAAAAAAAGGACATTTTAACATCAGTTTCTAGCCCAGGCCCTGACCCACCTCCCATCTTTCAAGAAGTGAAACAATTGATTAAAATAGAGAAGTTATTTTGATGGCCTCGAAACATGTTTTATGGACTTTGCAGGAAAAAATAGTAATACCCTATTATGTTATAGTATGGAATCATTAGGAAACCCCCGAATCATTGCAATATTGAAAACTTTGCAGGATTATGTGCATTATATGCACTTTCCTGGGTGAGGGAGCCCGAAAGATTCGTCAGTCTCAAAGGGCCTGAGACCCTAAAAGGTTAAGAATCATTGCTATAATGAACTCGTGCCAGTCACTATACCTAATGAGGACATTAATTTTGTTTTGCAGTTATCCAATCTCTTACACAAATCTAACTTACTTCAGACAGTACCACATAAATGCAAATGTCACTGAAGAGTTCTTCACTGGATCAGGAGGACTACGTAAAAAGAAAGGAAAAATTCTAAACAGTTTTTGTAAACATTTAGTTTAACGAGAAAGCCATTAGTAAAAAACTGGATTTTAGAGCAATGAAAAGAACTTGAAGGGTTAGATTTTGTGGTGAAGAAAATGCATTTACTTTTCTCAGTTGCTTCTATGTTGAAGAAGCAGTAACTTTTATTGTTGTATCCCTTGCTGGAAAAATCAAATTATTTTCAGAAGTAAAGGTCAATTCTTGCTGGTTTATGTCCTTCACAGCTGGGTTCATGGAAGACATTCCTATGGCTTTTGACAGATTAAGAGTAATCCTCCTTTTCCCTCCTCACTAACATCTTCCCATCCTTAACCCCCCAATTCCCTTATTTTCTTATTTTAAGCCCAGTTTAACATAGCATTAATTGACGAGGCAATGCACTAAGCTATCTCAAGAAAACTGAATTGGCTTATTTCATTTTGGAAGAAGGAGAAAGGAGAAAGAAGGAAGGAGGAGGAGAAAGAGACAAATAGACCCAACAAGGAGGGAGGGAGGGGAAATAGAGGCAAAATGTCATGGAGCATAAGGGGGAAAAAATCTGCCACTTTGTTGTTTTATCAACTTAAACAACCTCTCCCTCCCCCCCATCTAATAAAAGTATACGTTGTCAACTGCAATTTCAACACCATCTGAGTTTTTCTAACTAGCACACCTACATACTGGTAATGTAAATAGGAAAGCAGTGAGAGCAGAGGCCACTAGCTTAATATACAAAGCAGGCAAAAAGGAAAGAATCTGTGTTGAGGTGAATAAAAGTGATTGAAAATGTTCATTTGACAGTGAAGTGAAAGCAAATGCCTCTCATTCCTATCTATAACTGCATTCTATCAGCCGTAACTAACACTTTACTGAGACTTATATTCTGACCAACAATACAGTATTATATATTTAGAAGATGTATTCTTAAATATTTCGAGCATATTCTGAAGTAATTATATAATTCAAAACAAAAACAACCCAAAACACATGGCACATTGACAGAAATAAAGTAAAATTAAGCTTCTAAAAATTTAAACAATAAAGATGTCTTCTTAATGCCTGAAAGAAAAATTAATTAGAAGACTAGATTCACTCAGTTGAAAAGTGGTCATCTCACCAGCAGTATCTGCAAGCAAAAGTATATGTAGCTCTTTAAGGTCCCTTCAAAGAAAAACCTCAAGTGAGGAACACTTATATAGTCTTTTCTAGTAACAAATCCTAAACATAATACTGTGCAAATAGCAATCAAAACAGTAAAGGCTTAAGCCTCTCATTCAAACTTTATGAACCAAAAGTATACACTACGAAATTCAAAATGTAAAAAACCCCACAAAATAGAAAACAAGTACCCAATTTCATCAGTTTTTTCCCATAAATCAAATTGAATTCCCAGATGAATTTGTCCAATAAAGACAGGCAGTGAAATTATTTTTTATAAATACTAAAACACATAGTAATTATTTGGCTGAAATTAGATATCAACACTGAATGTGTTTTCAATAAAAGAGCACAGAGGTTTACTTAAATAAATTTAACTATATATATGTTTAAATGCTTTAAACTCAAACTCCACCTGTATGTATTGCCAGGGTTGGAAGATTCTAAGAAATCCATCACCTATTTCTCTGAATTGCTGCTGTCAGCAGGAAGCGTAAAGGCCATTTGTTATAAGCAATCGAGCATACTGAATGGGCTTAAGCTTTATCAGTCCAATTTTATTCCTAATGCTGGGCAAAATTTTCTCTTGAATGAGATTTTTAACTGTTAGGAGAAGAAAATAAACAGACGAAGAGAGTCCAGGTGAATAAAGAAGTACAAATGAACTCTTTGAGGGCAGGCCCCTACCTTGTCCAGGAGAATACATGGCATATAGTAGGTGGGCAATAACTACTTTTAGATGAGTGATCCAGTTAGAATATTAACATATATTATAAATTATATTCAAATGTAAACTCCTTGAGGGCAAGAACCTATTCATCTCTTTATAATCCCAAAGTGATTAGTTTAGAATAGAGATTTACTCACAGCAATACATTCTGTGTAAGAGCTAAGTTATTAGCTGGACTAATACATGGCCAACGGTATGATGACTAAAAGTACTGCTGTCATTCAGATTATTTTAATTACGTAACTAATTTATGCTTTAATTCAAATTTGTTAACATAATGAAGTTAGAAAAAAAAAATTAGGTGGCTGGTGCAGGACTAACTGCATACTACTCTAGAACCAAGTTAATGTACTATAGCTAAAAATATGTTTGAAATGGGTTTAATGCAAAATAGGAAAAATACTTTAATTTGTAAAAGTTAATGTTAATATTGATAACTGCTTCTGTTATTTGTAAAAGTACATTCCCCAAGAGTGGCTATTAAGACATTTTATCTTGCTAAAACAATGACAGATCAGTGAAGTTTTTTAATGTGAGGGTAACAAGAATCTGCTATACAAAACTGAATTTCCTTTTAAAAGCAGCAAATTAGATTCATCCTATTAAAACATTCAAATAAAAGTACTTCTGAATACCATATTATCATCACACAAGAACTTTTTCCTTCCAAAGAAAGTAACATAGAACACATCAAAAATTTTGAGGCATTGCCCTGAGATGCTAATTAGCACAAAAAGGATGGAGTGGGGTCAAGAATTTAAGTGGTACAAAAATGAAATGCACAATAGAGGTACAAAAGTGCCTTTTAAAAGTGGGGGTAGTTCCCCACCAACACCACTACCTCCAGGATCAGGTACACACACAGTCTGCTGTTACAATGTATACTTCCTGTATTTATTATAATAAAAAGTTATATCTAGTATGGCAGTGCTGACTCATGTGGAAAAGATTTAGTCGTCTTAGATCCCACTTAAGTTTTCTCTCACTTCCAAGCCTAATTTCAGTACTAATAATTTTAACAGAGGAATATTTTAATCTCCTCTTAATTACTAAAGATTTTCAAATAACAAAGGCTCTAAATATGTTATGGTTTGAAAAATAGCTTTCCATCACATATCTTACTTGTGATTTAAGATTCTGCATCTCAAAAGATTCCACAGCTCAGTTCAAGGTTTTCAAATTTCTAGAACTAAATACTTAAGTCTACTTAAAAAATTAAGAAACTGGTTTGTTTTAATAGGGAATTTAATTTTCAGTACTAGTATGTCTGTAAATCAATCTATACTAGAAGCACTGTTACTCATTAAAATGCACATTTAGATGCTTACAAAGCCATAGCTTAGAACATTATCATACTTTGTACTCTCCCACAGATTTAGTCACTAAACATTTATTTTTAAGTACGGAATTAGTTCTTTAATTCCAAATGTTATGAATTTCTAAATATAAATAGTACTTCAATTATTTTTCAGTCATGCTGGATTAAAATATAAATTAAATACAATTAAGTTACATTTAACCACCTCACAAATAAGAGGGATAATAAAAAGATTTTGCTGGTTTGTAACTACTTAAAACTGAGACATTTCACATTATTTTTCCCACTACACCCTAAACTTTACATTAGTTTTAAGGCTCTATATACAAATATGTGTATTTTCAAGTTAGGGAAAAAACATATAAAACAAAATGGATTATACTACCTTTTATACACAAGGAAACCCTGGTGGTATAGTGGTTAATAGCTACAGCTGCTAACCAGAAGGTCAGCAGTTTGAACTCACCAGGCACTCCTTGGAAACCCTACGGGGCAGTTCTACTCTGTCCTACAGGGTCAGCATGAGTTGGAATCGATTCGATGACAGCGGGTTTGGGTTTTTTTTTTAATACACAAAGTTCTGATTTTGTATTCAATATTATATTTTAATCTTACAATGTAATAGTTTTCTGGTGGGAAATCTGCCTACTGAATGATTAAATTACATGGTGATAAATACAATATTCAACCTAAAGAGACAATAATACAGAAGGGCACAGAATAGTAGTCTTTTCAATGTGACAGATTTAAAACTTACTTTCACATGCTTAATCTGAGGAATTTAAGCCTAAATTAAATTATGTTATTTTTATATCTACAATTCCTTAAGCTTTGAAAGTTATTTTTAAAGGCCAACAGCTAAATATTATCAACATGCTATATTTCAAATCACAAATACATCTTAACCACTGTATTCTAAAGACATAGGCCAATTAAAAGTCACAGGCAAATACACACTCACAAACACACATATACCTACCATAGAGTATTAGATTGTCAAGCTTTGACAATTATTTTAATTAAACAGTAGGCAAATTCAAGCTGATGCACACCTCCAAGAAAAATAAGCACTCAGAAAAAACAGAGACTTAAATCTTATAGTTTTTTCTAGGAAGGGAAACAGTTCTATCTATGCCTTGAGTAACATTATTGTCCATTTAATAGAGACTAACATCTTTCCCCATGAGAAACTTCTTATTTACAATGGCATGGTGTTTTAAAAGGCCGGGATAAAAGAGGAATTACACATACATGATTAAATTTCTTGTTTGTTAAATCAAGCTTTATTGATAAAATGGAATTCAGAATATCTTACTAGGAACAGCAGCAGGTTCAGCCAATCATGATAGCAAAAATGTGGCAGTCTCCTACCATACATAGGAAGCTGCTGCTTATCAATTAGTAATTTAATGTAAGGACTTGTAAAAGAGGTGCAAAGAATCAAGGCATTCTAGCCCCAAGATTGATATTCTTAAGAACACTCTGTATTACCTTCAATACTCATGGCAACAGGGAGAGAACACCCTGAAAGACAGTTAAATGAAGGGACTGGCTTTATCATCAATGCCAATCTCACCTCCAAGAACATTAAAATAGTTTTCAAAAACTCCCTGGATGTTTGGGCTTTGTAAGATTTTGAAATTATTCTCCATAATTGCGTGCATGTTTGGGCATCTAGCTGATGTGGCTGCTGCTCTCCCTGTCCCCACCCCAAGTCCAAAACACAAAATGACTTGAAAGGGCTATATGTCTGTTGCATCACACAACAAGCCAAACATTTCTTGTAACTTTGATAGTGATTTAAAGCAGTTCATAATTAAATATGAGCATTTTGTACAAGGACAATTACACTTTACAAAAAACAAAATCATACAACAAAAATTGCTGGAGTCTGATTTACAACATGAATTATGGTTTGAAATCATGTTTACGTAAGTCTCAAATTTACAAAAAAAGAAAAAAAGAATCAGTTCTGGGCTAGCTGTTGTTCTGTTGAAGGTCTCTGGTATAATCACTCTCACCCATGTCATATCCCCTTCTTTAAAGTTGACGATGGATGTTAAAAAGATTCAACAAAGTTGAGCTGTACTCTCCTTTGGAGGTGAAGGTAAACTCCATGGCTAGATGAGCAGTTTTACCACATATCATCAGTTGATGCAGAGTCCTTTATAAAAGGAAACAAAACAAGAAACTAAATTAAAGCTTGCAGGTGCCGAAACACTACTTTCTGGGTAACGCAGACAGATAAGGTTTTGCAAAGTTGTCTTTTAGAATATGTCTTTTAAAGTATATGTGTATATGTAAAATATCAATATTTAATTTGTTCAAAGAAATGTTAAGCCTCTGATTTTAAAACAAAATACCTGAAATATGGTTTCACTATGAGGTTGACCAAATGTATTTCTAAACCAATGAAGCTACTAAAACGAATTTTATTTTTTTCCTTGGATAAACCCACTTATTTTTAGGACACCACTTTTATAAACTTTTATTGCATAAGAAGAAATTAGGACCTCAAGTAATATGAGGTTTCAAAATGCAATATTTCAGAGTTGTGCCCAAATGATGTTAAGTTACAACCTTTCTATAAAAATCATAATGTAGCAGAAGTGCAAAAGGAAACTTAATTGCAGAATGTAGTATTTAATGTCTATATAAACAGAATTTTCCATTTTCGTATTTAAATAAAGTATACATTTTAGGGTTTTGGCGACCATAAAAACTATTTAGTGGAAATAAACATTCTAAAGTTAAATGTTGCAGTTGTTTACACAACGCTGAAAAATTCAAGATTCTGAGTAGAGATACTATTCCCAAGTTCAAAACAAAACATTCAGTGGAGGCAAACCTTCTGAAGTTGATTGCTTGTAGAGGCTTACAAAACCCAGAATGATTCAAAAGGACTTTCTTCTTTTTTGAGAAAGGTGGCCACTCACCATGATTATGTCCTCAATCACTAGAACTGTGGTGCAGGCAGATATCAGAGCAACCAATCAGGGGTGTGTGTAAGAGAATGGGTGCAGTGAACAGCTCTGCAAAAACAGGTAGGAAGGATATGCATTTAGAGTGGAGGGGAAGGGTAAGCAGAGGGAGGTGAAGTGCTACTTACAGTGTCATCATTTTTGTAAGGATTCAGTCTATTGTAAACGGCTTCAATTACATTCCGCCTAAATTGGAAACAAAAATACAGAAAATTAATTCTTCTTTGGAAAGCAAAACATTGCCTAATAACTCACAGCCAGCTGTTCATTAAAATGTCAAAGATAATCTAGTTTTACAAATTATTTTAGTTCTATTTCTTGCTGTTAATAAGATATTTGGATCCCAATGATAAAGTTGAGGTGAATTCACTCCAAAATGCAGCATTCCACCAACTCAGTTAATAAAAAAATCAGACCCACTTCCGTTGAGTTGATTCCAACTCATAGCGACCCTGAAGGACAGAGTAGAACTGTCTCATAGTTTCCAAGGAGCACCTGATGGATTTGAACTGCCGACGTTTTGGTTAGCAGCTGTAGCTCTTAACCACTACACCACCAGGGTTTCCACTCAGTTAACAGAAGACTAAAAGTCATGGTTTAAAAAAATCAGTCTATACAATCTACTTCTATTTGAATTGGCTTAAGTGGTTATGAGTCAGCAATGACAATGCAGTTCCTATCAATATATACTATATATTCTAGGAGTATATACTAAAGAGTCACATGTTAGTTTTGAAGTAGAAGTAACTTCAACATATGTTATTGTAAAATGATTTAGATATATTTTACATTTAAGATTCTGCTTAATGCTTAAAAAAAAAACTTTATTAAAACTGAAATGCTAAGTATGACATTTCCATGACAAGTCTAGGAATTAGTTTTTAAGTAATACTTTGTTAAAAAATCTGCGGTGGTATTTATAAGTTATAGCCTCCCTACTTCCAAAATTGATTTAAAGCAATTTTAGACAGTCATTTCACAGGTCATATTGGAAGGAAAAAAGCTTCCAAAAAATAAAAGCTTTAAATAAGAACTTTTACAATGACCATTTAGTAAAATGATTATAAAGAGCATGGCTATACTTGCAAAACACAGTGAAGAGTCATGAAAACTGATGAATAACAAACCTTTATAGGTTAAATATGGATATTTGAGGTAAAAAAATGTTTTAAGGCTTGAATTATAAACTGCTTGTATTCACCACTTAAAGATGTAAGTTTTAATATTTAACACAAATTAGTACAGTTTTATCAGCTAAAGTAGAAAGGGAAAAAGGCAAGAAATGCATCCTTCTGTCTTTTTTGACTCCCAAAACCAACCAACCAGCAATCAACAACCAAAAACACTGAAAACATCACAGATGTAGAAAGAAGGCCCAGATAAGAGGAAGAGGAAGAGGAAGATGCTCTTCCCTGAGATGTTAAAGTTATTCAGGGGTTGACAAGATCGAATAATAATAATAATGACTTATAATTTTATAGTGCTATAGTAGTTTAAAAAGTGCTTTTACGGTTCCATTTATGCTCCATGAGGAAATCAGTGTTATCCAAGCCTCTACTGAAGACAAGTCTTTAGTGTAATTATTTACAATGACATTCTGATATCTGTTCTAAACAAGTACCATATGGTAAATGATACTGGAAAAACACGGAACCACAGGTTACATGAAATATTTTGAAAACACAGATAATTGCATCGTTTTACAAAATAGGCAAATAACCATTTGATCAACATGCACCTAATATTTTCGTAGATTGAAAGCATTAGAGTGTACAGAATGCAACTTACTTGCTTGCCAATTCACCCCCTGGTGGGAGGCTGGGGATGTTCTCACTCGCTAATGTGCGCATCACATGGACTAAGTCAGGGACGCCTTCCCCCTGCTTCTTTATGATTTCTGGGAATCAGAAGTACTTTTTTTGTAAGTGCTATCCAAATTTAACTTAAAAAACTGAAACAAAGATAACTTAGTGTTTTTTAAGATGGTATTTACCACATCTGAGATCTTCTAAACCAGTGTCATTTAAAAAAAAAACAAGTTGACCTTGTAAAATTTATGACAAAGCTGTGTACAAAATGACACAAAAGATGAAATACTTTCCAGATTAACTTTAAAGAATAAAATTAATCAAGATAAATGTAGGAAAGAAAAATATTTTATGTTAAACCAATGTATTACATATTAGGGATATGTGTGAACCAACAAGAATATCCTTCTTAAGATGCCAAGTAGTTACTTCTGAGAAGCTCAGCTCCTCTCTTTAGACTGGAAACATGTTTTCCTGAACTTTGTCCTGTAAAATACATGGATGGCGCAGGTTTTTTTTTAAAACAATTTCAAGATTTGAAAAAAAAAAAACCTTTAAGTATAGGGTGATTTATTGATTATATACTACTCCAAAACATTTTTATATATTTATATTTGCAAAATGATAGTTAAGTAGCACGCACAGATTATGTACTTGAATTTGATCATCTCTCAGCTTAACTTTCGTCTAAAGTATCTTTAAACAATAAATAAATATACAATACCACCTCCTCAGTTGATTATTTGAACAAAGCCTTGAATGAAAAAAAGTATAAATTTCATGACATTTTTTAAAACAAAAAGATTTGACAAACCATACAACTGCATTTAAAATAACTAATTTCAAACATTCAGTTATTAAATGGGTATAGTGATATGATCTGCAATGTTGCTGTGCAGATGTGTACTGTTACTGATACCACAGAATACCAAAAATGATGTACAAAGAACTTAACAAAGGATTCTAAACTATTCACTTTAAGTAGAGAAGTCTTCATTTGGAGTTTTAGCACACTTCTTTATTCTAAGTACAAGATCATACCAAAGGTATTTGTAACCTATAGCTTCAAGTTTTGTTCATTTTTTTGTTTTTCAATGCTTATAATTAAAAAAAATTTCTTTTGGTCATCATTGGGTCAAGAAAATTATCATTCTAGTTCTCAATTTGTAAATATCTTTGAAAATAACAAGGCATATAAAGATCTTTCATTTTCTGATCAAGTCTCAAAAATATTAATTCACCATTAAAGGTACATTTTAAAAGACAGACATTGCTACCCATATTTCTTTAAATAGCTCAAACTGTCCTTTTAGAATTAAGGCCAAATTTTACCATCTATTATTTTTGTCTTTTTTTTTTTTAAAACCACTCTTAAATCTGAACAAAAAGCAAGGATCTCAGATTTGGTTTGCCAAGTTCCTTTATTGGATAATCTTTAACATCTAGTATATTTATTCTACATGATTCTAATGCTGAAAATCTGCTTTACAAAAATAAAGGGATTTGATGTTTACCTAAACTGCACAATTTCACAATCTAAAGCTGTAACACACTTAACATACAGTCTCTGCTAAGCCAATACAATTATTTGGATAGATAACTAGATACAACAGAAATGAACACTGATGATAAATGCGATCAATGATGGTTTCAGGTCTAAAAAATATTACCTTGAATCACCTATATTTGATGTAACTTACATCTCTTTTGTTAAAATATAAATTAGGATATTTTTAACTGTGAAGAAAATTACAGGAAAATAAACAAGTTCTTTAAAAAAAATAATGTAAGGCTTTATAAATAGCTAATATCCCTAATTCCACATGGGATAGCCCATTTAAACTACCTGACCATTTACACTACACCAGCCTTGCTTCTTTCTGCTTTAAAAAAAAAAAAAAGAAATGAATTTTAAGAAATATTCCTTTAATTGCTCTTGCACTATAAATTTTAACTAGAACTGTAAAAAAGACTGAATGCTTTTATTAAATGATATATATGTATAGAAGATCCACATTTCACATACACATATACAAACATCTTCTGCTCGACCCCACTCCCCTCCCCCAAGTCTGAGGGATTCTATCAGTTATCTCCAAATTAGCAACTTTAAAGCTAGGGCAATCAGTAGCAAATATTTAAAATACTCACACTCAAATATAACCTTAAACTGGCTAACAAGGACCACACACTTAAAAGAGGTATGGTTTAAGTTACAAGTTAAATCTTTTCATGCTCCCAGAAAGGTAAGTATTCAGAAGGACACAGAAAATAAAAGAAAGGAGAGCTAAAAAGTCTTTTTCCTTTTCTATGTTGTGGACAGAGAATAAAAAAAAATGTTCAAAGCAAATAAAATAAAGTTGAGCAGGTCACAGTAATTTAGTAAAGGCATGTATTTTAAAGACAGAAAAGAAAGAAAATGGTATTTGGTGCCTGCTTTGGAAGTTAAATGCAGTTATTTACTTTTTAAGATATAACTTTTACAATGCAAACAGTCATATTCTTTCTGTATTTTTTAATAGCAGCAGTTTTCATTAACGTAATATTTATTTTCTAGTTGCAGTTTCATCAAATCTGCCTCAGTAAAGAATATCATAGATTTAATTTATGACACATAATAATTTCCAATTGAATGGTACAAGTATAATAACATTTCAATATATCAAAAATATCGAGTATTAACATAAACTCTGCTCAGGCAGCAATTCTCTTTTGATAATAAGCAATATAAAACTTAATTTAATTGTAACAAAATTATGTGTAAAGTGAATATTTCATAATTTCATCAAAAATTTACTTTAAAAGAATGTACTCTAAAGAGGAAAGTAGCATGATTCCTGTCCAAAATTTCATTCCATTTCATAGCAAATGACATTAAAGTATGTATTTGTTTCTTTAAATCTATGAGAAAACATCTACACTCCTCCCCAAGTTACTTTAAAGTGCTAATACATTAAATATCAACTTATCTCTATACATATTCTTACAGTTTCGTATTTTTCCACTAAGAAGCAGTCTGAACTAATGTCGTATGATTTTGTAACATTCTAAATATTGTTATTTTACTGTATTATCTATAAATAACTCATATTAAAATGATTCATTTAAAATATAAAATTTCCAAGATCCTTGGTAATATTAAGAAAACAAATTCATTGAATAGTATGTCCAATGAATGAAATACTAAATAGTACATACACATACTAGATATATCACTATACCAAGGTGGGAGAGAACAATAAAAACAAAATAGCAACCCTAAACAGTACTGAAAAATCAAAAACAATGATTCTAATATCAGACTGGTTATGAATGATATCAAACAGTTAAAAGGAAGAAAACAAAATTAAAGTGCATATTAATTTTTATAATGTAGGCACAGCAGGATGTAATAGTGTGGTAGGTCATTGCTTGCACGCTATTCGAGAGGTCTTTAATGTGAAAATTAATGGCATTAGAAGCCCAAAATGCATTTTAATGTTATTATACTCAAGTTTTTCTGTTTTTAAAGGAACTGCATAATCTACATGCTATTGCATATATGCAGTAAACTGGCATTCTTTGGGGAGCTTAACTTTTAAACTAAGTAGTAGCTGCATCAAGGATAATTTAAACTTTTTCCAAAGATTTAAAGGCACTACACTTGAGAGTTAAAAACATCTTACTAGCTGTCTCAAAGTAATTTTCAGAATTATGACAAATATACTAGAATTCTCAACTTATTTCTTGATCTTAGTTAGTATTTACATTTCTGCCAGGTAGAGACCTAGTATGTTTTTTATTCAGGCCTATCTCATTTACATTAAGAGTTTAGGTTTGGACAAGCCTTGAAACAATTTGGAAAAAAATTTACAAAGCTGTGGCACAGTGAAGTTGCTAATAAACAGGCTGTGACTTGCAAGTTACCGAGAAAAAGAAAAAGCCCCTAGCGCTACTAAATGAATGTACACAGCTTTTCACAGTAAGATGGTATTCAAATTATCACCATCATAAATAGTCTCTGAATTTGTAATTAGATAAACCACAAATTAGATTGTCCTGGCATAAAATTACTCATGCCAGTGAAGTCAGTAACCATTTTTAAAGCACACAAACATTTTTAGTCTTTTTAGACAAAAGGATCCTGAACAAGCTGTACAGGGTCAAACTAGCAGTTTCTAATATAACTGTGCTAGGACAATCGACATATACCTTAACAGCTAAAGAAATGTCCTTTCCCACATTTGTACACTAAACACTAAATGTCAAAGGCATGTAAAGATCTAAAAGCTAAAATGTTAAAATTTGATTGTGTTGAAGACTTTTCTCTAATAAAGTTACTTATTTTTTGTTAAATGATCCACCTTCTACTCTGCATTCCAGGTACTTGTCCAACTCTGCCTCCTTCTTCACTGCTTCTGGTGATACTTTGGGTGCATTTGGAAAACAGATCAATATCACACTCATGTTGTCTCGACTTCCCTGAGAAGAAAAAAGTTTGAGAAAATATTTTTGTTTTCTTTTTGCCTTCCCACACATCCTCTTCAAAGCCTTAAGAATCTTTACAGCTTGCCAATTATAATTATACTTGTTCTAGTGAGATTATATATTATTTTTAAGGAGAAAAAAATATATATGTATGTGTTTGGGTACCCCTCCACACACATGTGGTATATATAATATACAGTATAACCAACATTCCAAAGACAGGAAAGAAACTTTACAGGTTAAATCCTCCTGCAATAATCATTTAAAAAATTTATATAAAACAAAAAATCTCTAAGCATTTACTGGTGGCCTACTTAACATGAAGTGATACCTAACATATACACACATTCACTCAATGCAACAAAGCAAAAAATTCCAATCATATTCCTAACAACAGGATCTGACCTGTAGGTTACATGTGTATTTGAAAAATTTACATTTAAAAATTATAATAAGCATTGTGAGGCTAATTCATTCACTTCATAAAAAGTAGTGATACGGAATCAGAAATTAAACTACATATGTAAAGTTTATAAATCAGCTTTTAGCTTTCATAATTAAAAAACAAAAACTGACTTCACTTTTAGAAAACACATTCATTTTAAAAGACATCTAAGTACTTAAAATGCTGTAATTAAAATACTTGCATCACTGCTGGCCTCTCCACAGCCTCCTTCCAATTAGTAACTGGAGTTAATGTTTACATTTTAAGTAATTCCGCTAGATGGAAAACTGACCTTATACTATCAACTGAAACAACAAACAATACAAAGAACTTAATATTAAAAAAGACAATCTTTGGGAGAACTGTATAAAATGTGGTGAATGCTAAGGTACTGAATAATTTTTAAAATAGAGTAGAACATAAATGAGAGTGTGGAGCCCAAGTCATAATTTGCTAATGTGAATCTGACAATTCTCCCAATAAAATGGTTTTTAATCTAGCTAACAAGTATTTAATTCTCAAGAGCTATAGAATAAATCCAATACATGGATACTACTTTCATGCATATCAAGAACAAAGAACACTGTAGCATAAAGTCATTTTTCAGTTCTCTCAAAATTCAGAAATTGGCATCAATGTGCACTATCAACTTTTTGCTCTATTTTTGTTTTTAATATATGGTTGGTTGGATGTTATACAAACCAGATTTCTAAGTACAATCAGATTTTAATTAAGATTTTAAGTAGAGCTAGGAGTGTGCATATAAAACTACAAAGAATATTATGTTGGCCTTTTATTTTTGTATGCTAAAAGAAAATCAAATATATAGCCTCAGAAGAGTTTTATAAAAATCAACATTTGTTCTAAAAATCAAATAGTTAATGAGCATTATTGACAAAATAGAACAGAATATAGTAGAAAGGATACTAGATTCTAGTCTCAGTGCTGCTACTAAAGAAGTAAATTGTGTAACCCTGGAGAAATCGTTTAACTTCTCTTAGGAAAGGGAGTAGCTTTTATCAAATACATATTATTTGCTAAACTAAGCATTTTACATATATACACTAGTTCATTAATTTAACGCCTCAACACTTCTATGAGTTAAATACTACCATCTCCATTTTACAGGTGACAAAATTAAAGCTGAGCAATTTGTTCAAGACTGTAGAATACAAATGTAATAGAGTTAAGTCTTGATCCAGGTCAGCGTGGATCCACAGAGCATTCTCTGGCTTCAACTTTCTCATCTGTGAAATAAAGGAGCTGATAGCTCATCTACCTACATGACTGCATTTGATTGTGGCAACAACCCCATGAGGTAGGGTAATAGGTCAGTCTTACCTTTTTACAATTAAAGAAACTGACTTTCCAGATAGTTTAAGTAGCTTACCTGAAGTCACGCAGTCTCAAACCAAGTTCTTCTGACTCTACAATCCAAGGCTATTTCTAGCACATCACATCAGATGATTCCTAAAGTCCCTCGGTTAGTGACATCAATTCATTACACTATAGTCTCAAAGTACTGCTACAAATGTACTGAGATATTACATGGTAAAAATAAAATATTAAAATTCTAAAATGCTTTTCATTTATAGACACTGAGGCCTAGCCCTCCCCACTCCCTTTTAAAACATGCACTGTAATATAATCACTTTATCTTTGATAATCTTCCACATGATTAAAAAGCTCAAATAGTCACAGTTATTAAAAGACTACACATTCAGATTATAATTCTTGCATAGGTGGTAACTGAATAATTTACTTCTAAAAAGTGTTCAGTTGATGTATTTTCATAGTTGGTGAAGACTATCCTACATTGGACCAAAAACTTATTTCTGAGAACTACAGGTTTTAAGATGATTAAACACCAGAGTAGCAATTAAAATGACATAGTTTTATCTTTTTTTTTAAAAAAAAAATCTAGCTACCTTATACAAACAGGTGTCGACTACTTCATTGCAAACTTTCTCAAGGTCATCAGTGACTTCAAGCCTGGATCTTACAAAATCACAGAGCTCTTCATTTCCCATAACATCCCAGATACCATCACATGCAAGGATAATGAACTGATCATCTTCTTCTGATCTTTCAATATCATAGACTTCAGGCTCTGGTGAGACAAGCTGCTCTGTAGGACCTTTTCCATGGACACATTTGTAATCAAAGTCCCCAAGGGCCCTTGATACAGCCAGAGAGCCATTCACACGCTGAATCATCACAGAACCACCTGCATTCTGAATGCGTTCTTTTTCCAACGGATTACTTGGTTTGTGATCTTGTGTGAAGAAGTGAACTTTCCTGTTCCTACAAAGTAAACCTCTTGAGTCTCCACAGTTAATGAAATAAGTATGGTGGGGAGAAATTAAGACACCCACAGCTGTTGACCCACTTCTATCTGCACCATGTTTCTTCTCTGACATAACTCTCATGTGTTCATCAATCTCCAGAAAACCTGTTCTGATTCCATTCTTTACATTTTCCACAGAAGGTGCTCCTGCAGACCCTTTAAAATCTTGGTTATTGGTGATGTGATCTAACAAATGCTCACAGCAGTATTTGGCAACCTGAGAACCAGCATGCCCATCATACACAGCAAAGAATGACCATGTTTCAAGTCCACTTGGCAAACCGATCACAGCTGTATGTGCGTCCTCCATTTCAACGCGCCAGCCTTGCATGCTGCTTAGTCCATATCGCAGCCCATTACCCTGCCCCTGGGCATTATGTTTTTCCATCTTTGGTTTGTCTAAAAATGCTCCCATTATGTCTGGATATTCCAGGTCTGCAAAGGAAGAGAAACAAGAAAGTTATCACTGTCTTATAAACAAAATACATACCCAATAACTTTTTTAAGAGTGAAGGAGATAAAGTTTTAAATAAGATTCACAACTCTTGTGATAAGCAGATACTCATTGCATTGCCAACTTGAAATCTGGAGATTAACAAAGAAAAACCGAGGGAAAGGCTGATCAGACAGAGCTCAGAATTGGCAACAGGCACATCGGGATAAAAGCTGACTGGCCACTTTCCCTACGGCACAACAATTTGAGGCGGAAAGGAGACCTGGCAATAGCCACCAGCTTACATGAACCAGGCTAAGCTTTTAAGGATGTACCAAACGTGCAATCTCTTGAGGAATCTCAAAACTAAGTTGTGTGTGTATATCAATCAGGAAAAAGCCTACTAATTCAGACATCGTAGTCAAACATTCAGGATTTTCTATAACTTGATTCCAAACTATCTAGTTTTACTCCCATCACACAAATCCTCTGCAAGAGTCAAAATGATCTACTCATGATGTTCCAAATGTGCACGTGGCTTTAATTTTGCTTATGTCAGTCCCCGTAACTGGAATCCCCAGCTCTTTACTTATAGAAAAGAAGTACAACTAACCTTTAAAATCTAGCTCAAATTTTAACTTTTCCATGAGATTTTTCAGTTTTTTCTTTCTTTTTTTTTATTGTACTTCAGGGGAAGGCTTACAGAACAAATAGTTTCTCACGAAGCAGTAGTACACAT